TTTACATGGAGCAAATTGTAAATAAGCTTTAACTCATAGAATTATAGAAATTATAGATGTTTTTTACTGTCCCTTTTATAGAAACTTCCTCCGGTCATAAGCGGTTCTTACTTGACGTAAAATTTTAATATCTTTCAGTTTTCAACTTTCTGTGCTCTGTGACAGCAGTGGGTATGAAATAAATCTGAAGTTTTGTGCTTGTGTGTGGTTAGGAGAGGAAACACAAGATTGACAGCCCTGACAGTTTTGATAGTTACACGATTGTGAGGCGGCCATTTTGATTGATGCCTCCTAGCAGGCGGCAGCCCTGAGATTAAACCTTCTCAGTCAGCGCTCACAAACATACGGACCTGTATTTACTGGAGGATTGAAGCTTAAATTATTAAGTAAAGCAACCTGAAGGGACTCTGAGTTTTAGGAGGAAGGGTGTCAACATCTTACTTAAAAATGTTACAGTAATTTGGAAAGTTAAAGCATCCAACTCCTGCAACAGGACCAAATAGTTTTCTTACATTGATGAAGATAATTGAAAGAATAACTGAGAACAGATGATAGATAAGTTTGTTTATTTGCAGATTCTTCTGTTTGATTTCTTTGTCCCTTTTATGACCCAGAAAAAATTTCTAATTCTTCCACTACCATGCTTGATAGTGACTTAGCTCTGCTATATTTGCTTTTCTGCAGACATTGTGGTCGAAATAACTTAATTTCAGCCTAAATTGTCCCAAAGACATTGTCCCAATACAAGCCAGTTGCACAATTTTTCTGATTAAATATCATGAACTTTGACATTTACAAGGCTCAATGACGTCAGTAGCGTCTAAGATGGAGGTTTTTAATTTTTGCATTTTTTTCTGAGCGTTATAAGGCATGAAATTGGGGGAACGTCCAATCCTGGAAAAATTGACAGATTTTAAAGTGAAACTTTGCTGAAAATAAATAACTTGCAGGTCTTGAAACTTGGGATGGAAATAGGCAGAAGGACACAACAAAAATGTCTTTAAGAAGCAGGTGGCTGATTGGAAACAAGGTGCAGCTGTGAGAAAAGGCGAACAGGAAGGCTGAGGAAAGATGAATAACAAACACAGAGGCAAACTCAAAAAAAACAATAATTCAAATCAAGTGAGAAAAATAACGCTAATCAAAAAGAAAAAAAATCCAAAAACAAAGAACAAAACACAGAAATAAATGGAGAAAATACAAATGAATGGAAAATACAAGAAGACCTTTAAGGCATTAACAGAATATGGCAAGACCTGTTGTGCAATAATAATGGAACAAAAAAATGAATAAAACCCAAAATGTAAACACCTCAGGATAGTGCATTTTTACCAAGGATAAATAAAATTTTTCCTCTTAATAAATTTGTTATTTTCTCCTGCCTATAACATTTCACATATTTGAACACATTTTGTAACAAGTATAAGTAAAAAAAAAAAAAAAAAAAAGAATTCAAACCAAAGCTGTGCTAAATTAATATAATTTATTCAACCTCACATTTACAACTGTACTCTTATAGACACTGGATGAATAAATAAATAAACATCTTCTTCAGTGCTGCATTTAAAAGTAAACCGTTTGATCTTGTATTTTTTATATATGTATATACATTTATCACACAAAAATACACCGTTAATTATTACCAGTATTCTTTTTAACAACATGGAGCTACGTGTCAGTCCAGGGGACGACGCAGATTATTTTATGTGCATCTGTATACATGTTTGTACATGAATAGCACACTGATCCAATACGAACAACATTCACAAAAAAGTGCAAAATGATAGCCTGACACTTTACAAAGCAAGACGTCATAAAGGTGCTGCTGTTTTAGTGACGTATCAGCAATTCTGAAACTAATGAAGCAGGAAAAGTTGACGTCACACATTTACAATTACATCTGCTTGGCAATGAAGAACTCATTTGCACTCTGTTTTAAAAAAAGTTAATGCACATTAATTTGGGTGGGAAAATAACAGTAAGTTAATGGGCTTTGTTGTGTTGAGGGGGGTATGTACAAGACAAAATATGTCTGTGCTATTGCTTTTAGCCTATTCAGAGCAGAAATGTATTAATCTCTAATGGTACTTCTGGGTGCTGCTTTGGTGTGACCAATGTGAGAAAGAAGCATTATTGACAGCAGCTTCATTTCCATTGACTAAATAATTGCACAATTTGATGTTTTGATAGTAAATTTGCTAAATGGAAACTTGTCAATTTTGAAAAAAGTTGTTTCGACTCTTGGATGAGGTGTTTTTTTATTTTGCAAAACTGCAATGGAAACACTTTTTTCACGTCACACATGTCACATGAGCAACAACCAGATGTAGCCTCTGGCGCAAAATACAAAGAAAAAGACGACAGGAAGTAGTTTGAGGAATCAAGGTGGGGCTTGTATCGCCTGAGCAAACATATTCATTTGTAATTTTAACTGCGTTTCTTATGTAATAGAAACACTGCAATTGGAAAATTGTCTTTTTTTGACATTAGCGGAATATTGTCTAAGCTTTACGCACATTTGTAATGGAAACTCAGCTACAGATATGGAGGTGGAAAACTCTCTTTTTAGGATTAAAAAGGTTTTACATTGATGGAAAAGTTGACCCAAACAAAACATAATTTTGTCTACAAAAGCAAAATTTGAGATTGATTACAGAGCTTATTCAATTTAGACATATGTAGCCCGGCCATCGCCTTCCTACTCAACTCTGTTTGATTCTCATCTCCCTTCACTGCTCTGTTTGAAATTTCTCCCATTGAGCTCAATTTCTCCCATTGAATTTCAACTGAGCCAATCAGCAAACAGAAGTTGTGACTGATGGTGCTAATTTTTTGCTCTGTTTTAGAATTGCATCCTGCATAAACAGGGCTTTAAGCAGGGGAAGTGAAGGAAGACATTTAGTTTGCTTCCAAATATTGAATTAGCAAAGACAACCATCTTTTTTGGCTCTGCACCTCTCGCTTCGCTGTGGAGGATTGTTGTTTACACCACTGGCAATTTCTGCTAAACTTCATAGCTTCAAACTGGTGCATTACATTCGTTACGGCTAAAAGTTAGCGATTGCATAACATTTAAAACTTGAATAGTTCATTATAAAGTCATCATTGATGGTATTTAAAAGCTGTTTAGTATATTTTCCCAAATCTACTTCCAGCAAAATTTTAATGAGGTAGCGGTCCAATAAGTGGAAGCATAAAAAGATGACTGTGCAGTTTGGTTAATTTGTACCTTTATTATTTTGGCTAAAAACGACTGTGGTCTTCACTGGTAGCACATGTTCAGTCCCTGCACCAATATCCAAAAACAAACATTTCCTAAAGATCTCCAACAGGAGATGGCTTAATAATCTTTAAAAAGACTTTTTTATGTTCAAAACACTTAAAATGATTAATGATCAGAACAAGACCAACAAAATCTCTTAGTAGAGTTAAAAAGATCTTGAAAAGTGAATACTGTCTTTACAGATGAAGCCAAATAAAGTCATGTTAGCTGCATTTTCAAATCCAAACACATTTGGAAGAAATGCACAAAGTGTTATGGCTGACTGGCTAAAAACCAAGTTGGGTTAAATATAATTATTTTCCAAACCTGAATCATATTTCTGAGGTCAGTAAACATCCAACACTAGGGGGTGCCACAATTTGAATAGTTTCCATTTACAAAACTGAATGACTGGATTTGAAAGGCATATCTGAAGTGAATATTCTGAATTTAGCACTGAAAGAGTAAAGTGTGTGTGGTTTACCAATTAATTGATTAATTAATTAATGTATAAATTTAACATTTAAATATAAAAAAAATCACTGAAAGTTGCCTATATTTCCAAATGAGCTCAGATTTTAGAAAGAGCTTAGCATTACAAGTAACACCAAAGTTCACTATTAAAGACAAACTTATATTTCTTAAATATATGAGTATGTGTTCATGTGAGAACTTATTACAGAATGCAATATACCTAACCTGTAAAAAGAACAGTTTCTGTATTACTGTATTGTACTTCATTTGCTGATCTTTGTGGTATAAATCAAATGTCCTGACTGATATTCCACTTGGTGCTGGATCAATAATGACCGGTAATACTACCACTGTCCTGGGGGGAGCAATCATTTCCTGTCTGTGAACCTGCAGTGACTGAGGAGTCAATATAGCTTCAGGATGTGTCAAGAACACACTGACAGAAATTGTAGATCTGCAGATCATGATCGAGATGTGCTGCGCTGATCATTTTAAAATGTTATTTTAGTATGTGTTTTTATGTTTTTCAAACATTTGTTGTATTCTTACACTAATATTCTTTCCCCCTTCAAATGAAGGAAAAAAAATTTATTAAAATTTCATTTTTACAGAGTACTCAGATGAAGAGAAACGCAATGCTTGTACGCTAGTAATAGAAATTCAAAACTCTGGATAGTCAAAATATTGTTTACATTGCCTTGCCAAATTACTTGCTGAACTTTTACAATTTTTATGTTCAGACTCTGATACAGTGAATCTTACTTCAGCAGTTGAAAGAAAATAATGAGTGAATTACTTTAATTTTTTAAATAAATAAAAGTATAATTTTACAGTTTTATTCAGTTGTGATACCCCTGTTTAGAATAGCACAATGCCACACACACAACCCTAAAAAGAGTCATCCCCACAGCTGAACATGGTGGTGGCAGTATGAGGCTGTGGGATTAGCTTGTTACTTGCAGGGTCAGAGTTGATAGATAGGAAGATAAATGCCAGAGCACATGGTAAAAAGGAGAAGAACATTTCTATGAAAAACATAAGCATTTGAGATGAATCTAAGAAATTTTCTAGAAAATACGTGGAAGTTTTTAAATTAAAAAAAATAATAAAAAATTTAATTTTGAGTGTAAGAAAATTTCCAAACATTTCCAAAAAGTTTAAAATTTTGGAAACTCAGAAAAACTCAGAAAGTTTTTAAAAGAAAATTTCTGAGATTTATCTCTAAATTTCTGAGTTTTTTTTTTGACGGAAATTTATTCCCCTTTTATCTATCTCATTTCTGTTTTAATGAGTATGCCTGTTCTATGTTAATTGCACAGCAGAATCTTACAAGACACCAACATAAACACACTACTGTACCGGTTGCCACAACACACACCAAGAGATTTGATTACAGCATATCAAGACAGACAAAAACTTTTTTTTACCCGCTAGGACAATGATTTGTCTTTGATCCGCAAATATTTCTATACCAGAGTGATGAAATTCAAAATATCTGAACATGTTAAAGCTGCAGTGATCACTATTTAACAATTTCCTCAAATTCAAATTTCATTAGCTAGGAGAAAATCAACATACATAATCAAAATAAAGACCCCAAAACGTAAATGTTATTAATCTATATACTGACAGGGTTACTAAAACAAATGAACATTTGAATAACAGTAATTTATTAAAGCCAGGATTTGAATGTGTTTATTTTGATTAATCAATTAAATAGATTTGAATGTGTTAAAACATTTAAACGAAATTAATCGCGTTTTGTTTTCTTAACAAGTCCCAAGCCGGAACCTTTGTGTTGTGTTTCTGGTACGCCCTAGAATCTGACGCACATGCGCCGTCCGCTAACAGCAATGGACAAGAATATCCGCTTTTCTTGTCCCACTGGCTACTAATTTTTCCTTCTAAAACATTCTAGTGAATGCTGTAAAAAGCACAAAAACAAACTATTGTTTCGAAGCAAAAAGGAGTTGGATAATTACTAAAACGGTTCAAGCCGAAAGTAGCATCTCGATGCTAAGCGCGTTGCAGCAAACAGACGTCCCCAAAGCCTTAGTTACTTGAATGATTGTTTCTGTGACGCTTGAAAGCTGAATGGGTATAATAGCACTTTGCACCAGTCTGATGGTTGAATAGTCTAAAAACCAGATGAAAAACAATAAATACATCTATTGTTGAGCTCATATGTCTATTTTTTCAGTGGTTTAGCAGCAAAAGGCTGAAAATAAAACTAAGATTCTTGAAGTATTATTGCTCTATTGATAAAGTTTCTATGCAAACTTAACACTACTCAACAAAACCATCATGGATCAGTCACTTAAAGCTGCTTTGTTCACAGGCATACCTACAGTGCCTTGCAGAGCTGTTCATATCCCTTGAACTTTTGACATTTTATGTGATCCGATCATAAATCATGTTGTATTTTATTAGGATTGAATATGATAGACCAAAACATAGTGCATAATTATGAAAAGAACATGTACAATTTTATTGTTGTAATTTTCTTAGTTTGGCTCTCAAATTCCGTCGTAATTCTGTCAAAAATTGATTGTTAAAAGTAAGGCATAATAGCACTGAATGCAGATCAAAATATATTCATGCATTCAAATGGCACAACCAAAGTCCAGACCTAAATCTGCAGGTCAAATAAAAAAAAGCCCCTGATGTTTACAGATGCTCTCTGTTTAATCTGGGCAGAACCTGTGATTTTGCAAAGAATAATGCCAAAAATTACCCTGAACGACATGCAGCTGCAACAGCCAATGATCCAACTTTCTGTGAGTCTATCATATAAACTCCTAACAAGATACACTGATATTTCACAAAAGTTTAAGGGGAATTACTAATTTTGCAAGGCACTGTATATGCATCAACACATGTAACCTGAGCTAAGACAATCAGACATTAAAGCTGCTTCTTAGTTCTAATGCACATTTTTCAAGACCAGCAACCTTGAAAGACAATTTTCCTTTATCGCTCCACTACAGCAGTAGCATTTAAACTAAAACCGTTGTAAATTCACAGAGCCATGGTCAGAAAAACTAAAACAATTGGGAGCTTTATACAATATAGAGTCAGAGATGAGATTTTAGAGAGGAAATATGAACAGACAGAGGAGGCACCGATTCACCGACATAACTTGTGGAGTCACTTGGAAGCCGCAGAATGTTTCTGCTGATCTGGCTCACAGTGTGGCAGTAACAAGTTTCCTGAAGGACGCCAACTGAGTCTCTCTTCCCCTTTCACATTCCTCGGTTCAAGTTTTCTTTGTGCGTTTTGTGGTCTAGTTCTCGCTGTGATAGGACTCCGGACTCGACTCGCCGTCGTCGCTCAGGGCCTCGGTGTTGGTGAAGGTCCCAGCAAGCGTAGCACCGAGGGCTTGCCTGACCGGAGCCATCTCTGAAAGAATAATGTTATCGTGATTGCTTACCAGCGTGGCCTTGTCCATGATCTCTTTGCTGTGCTTGGACACGACCGCGTCCAGGAAGTCGTACTTGTGAGACAGCATGCCGCTTTCGAATAAGTACTTTGTCAGGTAGGAGAAGACCACGTTTGCTAGGAAAGACGCCACCATGGACACGGACTTGAAGGGGAACCGCTGCTGGACGAAGTATTCAACGTCTCCATTGATGTGGTGGACCCTCTCCACAGTCACCCAGCCGGGGTAATAGATGAATGGAGGCAGTTTTAGGTAAGGCTCCCCTCCACCAATGCGCAGCAAGAGTCCAAAGATATATGCTGCCACGGAGCCGTACGTGTTGGTACCTTTGACGAACAACACACTGAGAAGTTGGGGGAAGATGATGACGTAGACAAGGTCGGAGCTTAAGTACCAAAGGCCGTATACGGATCCAGTTAAAAGCGCCATAGCTGTGGCTAGAGCTCCAAACACAAAGATGGTGAGGCGCATCACCCAAACGATCTCAGAATCCGAAGCCTGGAAGAGAAAGGAGAGGGATTACGTTTTAATAAAACATTGATTTATTACTGGCTTTAGTAACTCTTTGTGCTCTTACCATCTGCCGAAAGGCTTGCTGATAAATGTTCCTGGCAAACATGGAGCTGGCTGACAGTATGGATGAGTCTGCTGATGACATCACCGCTGCCGACACCGCTCCCAGTCCGAAGAAGGAGATGTAGGGCGGGCAGAGGTGCTGAAGCACTATGGGAAGGATCATGTCAGACTCATCCTTGTCCTTCGGAGCGATGGAACCATAAGTCGTTTGATTCCAGTCTGGAAAAGATGTTTTTGAAAAAGCACTTCAGGTTTAATCTTCTAAGGTTTTTGGTGTGAACAAAATGTTTTATGATTTCTATTCTGGTCCATTTGCTTTTAAGACAAAATGTTTCACCAGTAAATCTGATTATGAGCTTCCCTGTAGTCACACGCATTTTAGCTGCAGACAAACAAAACTGCATGGACTTTTCGGTGGGTGAAAATACAGCAGAGATTGAGAAAATACCTAGCAAACAGTTCTACTCTCTTTGGCTGGGTAAAAAGAACAAGAGACCCGAGTAACAGGAAAAAAGAAACTATAAGAACTGCACATTTCTTCAGTAAAAATGGTAAATCGACATAAAATGAAGGTAATTTCACCACTAATGGACACATTTCTTTAGTGGTGTCCATTTTCTCTGAAAGATTTTCCACTTTCCATCACTTTCCTTTTGCTTCATGATCTCTGTTTCTCCCTCCAATCCCTGGATACTCATAAGCAGCCACTGTTTAACAGCAGTTACACATGAACAATCTTCAAAAGAACCAAAATAATTAGCTCTTCTTCAGATGTAATATTCAATAAATCGCTCTGAGGGCTCTCTTCTGGTTCCCCCCCAGAAGAGACGCCGTATGAAACAGAAACCTGTTGGGATGTCAACAACCCAAACAGGCTTTGATCACAGTTTCTTATTTCAATAAAGGATCAGAGTCCTGGACCGGGGATGTTTCATTACAGACTTGATTTACATGAGTTGTGTGTGAGGATCAATGTCTGATTGGTGTAAATCCAGACAAAACACTGCGTAATCCATTCAGCAGATAGGATTTCTTCTTGAAATCCTTTTTTATATAATGGAAATGGCAAAATTGTGTCTTTTCAAACCATAACATAATCGTGGTAATGTAACGGAAACACAACTCGTGTCTCTTAAAGAAGCAAATATACTTTCTTGAGTTTGTTTCATGATTTGCGGCAGATAATTAGAAGAACCATTTGAAAAGAATATATTCAGGGTTGGTAGTAACTAGTTACATTTACTTATTTACATTTACATGAGTAACTTTAAAAAAGTACTTTTAGAAATATTTTTACCATACTGCACTTTTTACTTTTACTATAGTGATTCTTTTATGAAATGTCGTTATTCTTACTTGAGTAAAGTTTCTGGATTTTCTACCCACTGAATGAAAAACAAATATTGTTTTAATCAAAAATTCACCACAGACACTCACCTGCAGTTTTTGTTCAAGTTTCATTAGGTTTTTTTTATTGAAAGAAACTGATTTGGAAAAGTTTTCTTTTACCCGATTTTGTTACTTATATGATCTACTGTCATTTTGGTTCTTCAAATACAAAAATCTCCACTTAATTTTATATTTTGATCTGTCTGATTATGTAATTTTAAAATAGTTGATAATTTCATTACCAAATACTTTTTACTCGAGATATTTCTTGGAGGGGTGCTTTTTACTTTTAGTGTTAAAGTATTTTTATTTAACTTTAATTGTAAAGTTATGTTTACAACTTTAAAGTTTGTTTACTTTACGACTTTTAAAATTGTACTCATTTACTTGAGTAAAAATACATTAAAGTATTTTTATTAAAGTGTAATTGAATATAATTTTTGGGTACTCTACCCACCTCTGATTTTTCAACATTCGCAGAATATGAACAATGTTTTTGTACAAAAACACAAACTGACTGATTCAGTCAGTTTATTCCCAAATATATGTGTCCACCTTCTACCCCGAGACAATGAGTGTGTGTGAATTTACTCGTGGAAGCTCCGATGGCGCCTATGAGGACGGACGGGACGGCCATGACTAAACAGCCGAAGGCGGCGAGGAAGGAGAGAACTTGAGCGTAGGTCGCTGAAGAGGCAGAAAGAACCCGCTGAAAGTAGACCTGCCAGGGAATCCCTCCCAACATCTGGAAATGGAAACACAGCCTTCAAACCAACGCGTCACATTCGGCAGACTGAATAACTCACGTCAGTGCCTAAAACAAATGCTCTCCCTTCAAGACTGAACTCTCTCCATGACTCAAATATTCTTTATAAGCGTTGCAGTGTTTAATGATGGATTAAAGCTCTGGAGTACCAGCAGAAAGAAGTTGTCTGCCCACAGCCAGTTGTCTTCAGGCTTGATCTTGCCCAGCCAGGGTGACTGATAGATTGCTTCCTTGGCTGAAACCCCGATGTCTGACACAGCAGGATTGGAAAGGGCAAAAGGCACGCTGATCCACTGATGAAGATTAGAAAAATCAGGAAACAAATGTTACAACATCATGTACATGATGCCCTTTAACTTAATCTTGGGTTACAACTACAGACTTCTTTGTACTTTTCTGGGTTTTTATGTAACAGATGAACACAAACTAATGCATGAATTTAGCTGGGAATATACAGCTCTGGGAGAAATGTAGAGCCCACTGCACTGAACCCCATTGAAAACATCTGAATTTAGTCTCCTGAACATGTTCGCCACTTCAGTTAATCCCTGATTTGTGACAGATATTAATCTACAACTCACCAAGCCCAAAAAGATGCAGAACAGCTGGACCACATCTGTGTATGCGACAGAGTAGAGTCCTCCAACGAGCGTGTAAAAGATGGCTATGAGCGCTGAGATCACCACAGACAAGTTGATGTTTATGTCCACAATCACACTCAGAGTGGCACCTGCATGATTCAGAGTCAAGTGGAAAAATTAAAAATCTCAAATCTGCAGGCAGGTAAATTAAAGAGCAGATTAAACCCACCCAGGGCAGACAGGATGGCAGCAGACCAGAAGATTTCTCCCATGAGGGCAGGAATGAAAAGCAGCCCCCCCATCCGTTTTCCATAGAGCTGCTGGAAAGGGTCCAGCATCGTGACGTAGCCGCGTGATCGCATTGGTTTAGCAAAGAAAAGCCCACCTGAGGGATGTCAGAAATTCAGCTTGGACTAATAACATTCAGAAGTGGTGTGTTCACTATACCATGCAGTATGTACAGCATCCAGAGTCTCCTAAGTTAGACTATAACATGCAACACAGCGTGGGCAATATGCACCGTCACATAAGAGTTGTTGGTTTTATAGTCACTTCAGAAATTGACACTAGCTTGGTAAAAAACCAGCCCCTTGTACTCAAAGTTGGCTAGTAACTGGTTACATTTACTCAATTACATTTATTTTAGTAACTTTTTTGAAAAAATTACTTTTAGGAGTAAAAATAAGAAGAGCACCCACACTGTGCTGGAAGCAAGAACATTTTTTCTAGAAAGGCAATGGCCAGCAACTATGAAGAAGCTTTTTTGTTTTATATATATATATATATATATATATATATATATATATATATATATATATATATATATATATATATATACAGTTAGGGCCAGAAATATTTTGGACAGTAACACAATATTTGTGAGTTGGGCTCTGCATGCCACCGCATTGGATTTGAAATGAAACCTCTACAACAGAATTCAAGTGCAGATTGTAACGTTTAATTTAAAGGGTTGAACAAAAATATGTGATAGAAAATGTAGGAATTGTACACATTTGTTTACAAACACTCCACATTTTAGGAGCTCAAACGTAATTGGACATATAAACATAACCCAAACAAAAAAGTTTTTTCTCAATATTTTGTTGCGAATCCTTTGGAGGCAATCACTGCCTTAAGTCTGGAACCCATGGACATCACCAAACGCTGGGTTTCCTCCTTCTTAATGCTTTGCCAGGCCTTTACAGCCGCAGCCTTCAGGTCTTGCTGTTTAGTGGGTCTTTCCGTCTGAAGTCTGGATTTGAGCAAGTGAAATGCATGCTCAATTGGTTAAGATCTGGTGATTGACTTGGCCATTGCAGAATATTCCACCTTTTTGCTCTCATGAACTCCTGGGTAGCTTTGGCTGTATGCTTGGGGTCATTATCCATCTGTACTGTGAAGCGCCGTCCGATCAACTTTGCAGCATTTGGCTGAATCTGGGCTGACAGTATATCCCGGTACACTTCAGAATTCATCCGGCTACTCTTGTCTGCTGTTATGTCATCAATAAACACAAGTGACCCAGTGCCATTGAAAGCCATGCATGCCCATGCCATCACGTTGCCTCCACCATGTTTTACAGAGGATGTGGTGTGCCTTGGATCATGTGCCGTTCCCTTTCTTCTCCAAACTTTTTTCTTCCCATCATTCTGGTACAGGTTGATCTTTGTCTCATCTGTCCATAGAATACTTTTCCAGAACTGGGCTGGCTTCTTGAGGTGTTTTTGGGCAAATTTAACTTTGGCCTGTCTATTTTTGGAATTGATGAATGGTTTGCATCTACATGTGAACCCTTTGTATTTGCTTTCATGGAGTTCTCTTTACTGTTGACTTAGAGACAGATGAACCCTTTTGCATGGAGTCTTTCTTTGTGACAATTTGTGGGGTCCTTTTAGAAAGTATGCGGCGATCATCCACCACCGTTGTCTTCCGTGGACGCCCAGGCCTTTTTGAGTTCCCAAGCTCACCAGTCAATTCCTTTTTCCTCAGAATGTACCCGACTGTTGATTTGCTACTCCAAGCATGTCTGCCATCTCTGTGATGGATTTTTTCCTTTTTTTCAGCCTCAGGATGTTCTGCTTCACCTCAATTGAGAGCTCCTTTGACCGCATGTTGTCTGGTCACAGCAACAGCTTCCAAATGCAAAACCACACACCTGGAAACCCCAGACCTTTTAACTACTTACTTGATTACAGGTTAACGAGGGAAAGGCCTTTTGAGTTACTTGCAGCCTTTGGAGTCCATTGTCCAATTACTTTTGGTCCCTTGAAAAAGAGGAGGCTCTGCATTACAGAGCTATGATTCCTAAACCCTTTCTCCGATTTGGATGTGGAAACTCTCATATTGCAGCTGGGAGTGTGCACTTTCAGCCCATATTATATATAAATTGTATTTCTGAACATATTTTTGTCAACAGCTAAAATAACAAAACCTGTGTCACTGTCCAAATATTTCTGGCCCTAACTGTGTATATATATATATATATATAATATATATATATTATATATATATATACCCTTATAAGAATGCACAATACATGCAAATGAAACTTTATTCAATTTATAGATGTAAATAGGGAGTAGGAGTAAATATCTTTTCACTCTTTTGTTTGTAATTAAATAAATTATTGTTGTATAAAACATAAATTGGATGACTCAGACAATGGGGTTGTTTTTATTTTACTGTATGTATATTTGTGCATAAGTGGATGTATGTACTATTTTCTTTGTTTTTTTTTTTTTACCTACTTTGGGTAGGTGCATGTCTTCCTTTTATGCGGCTCAAAATAAAGCAAAACTATAATCTACATCAATGGTTCTCACCTAATACCAAGCTGAGAGCGTAACCAAAGGGTGCCTGCGCCCAGGCCAGGCCGTAGTCTGGCAGGTAGACATACTCTGCTGTTCCATTTATGTATCCCCCACCTACCCAGGTGGCTGAGGAAGAAAACAACATATTTTAAAAACACTTTCTCTTCTGCATTCTAGACCTTTAGAGCCAAGGAACATTCGTGGCCATTCCGTGAAGGTCCGTGCGTAAAATACGGACTATTTGGAATAAACAGACACTGCACAGCCCTTCACCTCACCGGTCATCGTGAATCCCCCCACGAACAGCCCAATGTCTCTGCCCCCGACCATGATACTCTCACTGCGGTCTCCGCCTTCACCGACTCCAGAGTTCTTGTTCTTCCACGCGGCCCAGATCCCCACGAACAGAATCAGGACGTAGAAGAGGACGATGGCCACGAGACCCTCGACGTGGATCGTCATTTTTTTCCCACCGGGATCAGGCGCTACTGGGAACGGACTGGAAACTCATAGAGGAAACTAAACGGAAGCAGAAAGAAATGCATTCATTTTCTCTGTTTTTGACCGCAACGAGACAAATCTGATTAAATGTTACAATAAAAGCAAAATATATGCAGAAGCCCAAGTCCGAACTGACCGAAACAATTTGCGCATTGTCCTGTAATGCGCAACCTCCTCATTATAATGACTTTGTATTGGAAGAAAAGCGTATTTATTTTAGTTTTTTCCCTTTATATGGAAACCCCCCAGTTTTGACAACTTTCGGGATAGAAATTATTATTTATTGGAAAAAGAATTTCCCCAACAAAAACTACCAAGTAGGCGACATAATTTTGGCTAATTTAAGCAATTTTCTGCTTGGAAAAGGAAAAACAACTATCAAATTTAAAAGTATTTTAGAATAATAACGCGTGCAGTCTTGTTTAAAACATGGGTGCCATTTGCAGTGGTTCCCTGAAGAACATCAACAAAAAAAAGACAAAATGAGCAACTTTATTCATTGCGCCTAAAAAGCTTTTTTTTAAAATTTAATTGATTGATTGATTTTTTTATTTTATCAATTTACAAATTTAAAAGTCAGAAGAACAAAGGATGAATCCAAACCTTCGCGCCTTGTTGCTTTCTCTACTGTTCCTCTTTGTAGTTTTTGGCATATATAAGCTTTTTTTTTTCAGCAGTTACATTTTTAGTTCCATGCGTAAAAGCGCAGTTGTCATTCCCAAACAGAAAACGTCGACTTGAACATGCACGCAGTTGATCAAAATGGAACCAGAACAGGTGAGTCCATAGTTCCAGTGCATTTAACCTGTTTGTGCTGATTCTGTTTCTCCATGTTATTGATCTCTTTAAATCTTCTGTCGGGACGGCCAGAATGCAGTGGCACCGCGCTTCACTCAGATAAATAACCCAAACAAACAAAACAGTGAATTTCTTACCTCTCTGCTGGAGAGATCGGTCTAAACAGATGACACAAACTCTTTTGAAAAAAAGAGCAAGAGCAAAGATATCCCGATAAAAAATAACGGCACTTTTTTTGTGTATTCCTCCCTGGCGCACAAAGCCCAATTCAACGAAGCAGTTTTTTTTTTTTTAAACTCACGAAGCTGCCCGGTAAGGAGAGGAGAAGGAGAGAAGGAGGGAGGGAGGAAGAGGGAGGAGCTGGGTTGGAGGGATGGAGATGAATGGGAGTGGTGGGTTTATTGGGAGCTGTCAGGGTGGGTAGATGGTGGATGAATGTCTTCCATGGCTGGACAAAAATAGAGAGTGGCGTGACGTGCCACCTCGCAGGGAAAGCTTTCCATTATCATGTTGGCTGTGGTTGAAACCTTCACTTTGCCAGGTTACATCTCAGGCCTGATTAACAATATTGCGTTTTGTCTCCAGGCGAAGACACTTTTACTTGCATGCGACTCTTTTTTAAGAGGACTTTTGTTTTTTTAGTTCATTTTTAACTTCTGGGATGTTTTTTGTTCTTTAGTAAGCAGCGACACATGAGCAGATCTGGCTAAAAATGTCTGATGCTGCATTTGACTGCCTTCAGAAACGTAACAAAAATCCTCAACAGTGCAAATGTAAGCTCCACAGACAGTTGTGGTTTTAATGGGAGTTGGTATAGCAAGACATTTGGAGATCACTTGTTACTCAGCTCTCAAGTCTACTCCAGATATCCGTGTCCAAACTCAAGATATGCAAGTCCTAAGTAAGGAAATGCAGAAATACAGTCCCAAATCACGGCATGCAAGTTTCAAATAAAAAAACAACAACAACAAGATTTCTAAAATAAAGATAAGAAAGTCTGAATAGATATCCTGCATGTCAAAGGTCATTATAGAGGTCAGGGGTCATGAACATCTCATCTTAAGACACAGAATATCAGCCTTAGTGATTGGCTTCTTAAGGAAATAAATCTTTTATTAGATTGAACCTAAAATTAATTTTTGTACATTTTTGATAAAAAAAATTACAGCTTATCAGTTAATTTACACATTTTGCTTCTTTGATTTAACTTTAGCACAAAACAAAAGAAAAATCTGTTAATGATACATTAGCAAAGCCGACATTTATTGTCCTCTGTGTCCATCCAAATGTCAAAGAAGCTGGACGTTGTTGCAACTACATCCAAACTGTCTCACCCACATGTTGTACAGGCTGGATTCCTTTTTCTGTCTTTTTCCACCATCTTGTAAATTCTGTGAACAAATAGAATAACATATTGTGAAATATGATAGTTCTCCAAATAGTTCTTTGTTTAAGCTGGCTGAAAAGCCTTTTGTCGTCTCATAAAATCAGATTTCAAATCTGCTTCAAGCCTAAATCAACTTTAAATTTTAGGCAGATTTGTCGCTGCTGTCCACGGTGCTGAAGTTGACATCATCTTTGATGGTTTTTTGATGACAGACTCTCAAACTTACTGGTCTAAACAATGTGATGGTTAACTGAAAGTAAAGGTTTCAGGGAGGTTGGTGTTGTTCTTTCACTCAGGGCTACATCACTGAGGTGGACGACTTCTGTCCAACTCACCCATATTTAATGGTGTTAAAAAAATGGGTTGGAAATGATTCCTCAATGCCATTATTAAGAAATAATTTGGTGTGCACTTACATTTTTCCCTGTTCTTTGGCCTGTGGAGTGAGTGGGACTGTGTTGGGTTTCAGGATATTTGAATAAACAAGAAGTAGGGAAGACAAAAACGTGGTTAAAACGTGAATTTAGAGAGCATAATGGATAGTTTGTTAAATAAAAAGTCATAAAATAGACTTCTTGTTGTAGGAAGTTTTGATTTATTTCATTCATGATTCAAACAGTTTAGCAGCTTTTTTTTTTTTTAGCATGGAAACTACATAAAATGTAATTAAATTTCCCAGCTGGGAATATTCAACATAATTTGAATTAAAAACTGTGATGTTTACTATACCTTTATTTACCCACTGATTGAGTTTATCTTTATTCACGAAATCAAACTAATTGATAAACATACAGCCTATAATTAGTTTTCTGGTCTCTGATTCAATAGACAGAAGATCTTTGTAAAATCTTTATAATAAATATCTTCAATAACAACCATACCCCATAAGTGAATACAATTCGTTGGGTGTGTGTGTTTATTTTCTTTTTCCGCTGTTAGTTATCTCTCTATGTTAGACTCATCTGACAGGTAGAAATAAATGAAGCGACTGCTGACATGTTTGTCCTGTAATTTCCTGTCTTTGCGGCTGACAGTCGGTCACACAGAGGCCACCTCTAATTGGAGGGTTTCCCACAAATACACCTGGGAAACATTTCAGCAGTGTTACAGGAAGGAAGAAGGAGTCATAAAGAGATTATAATTCAATATCCACAAACAAACAAACCTCTAAAAACATCAGTGACAATTAAACATAAGCTACATCATATATAGAGATGTTCTGCGTAAAGATATAAGGATAATTGTGATTATAACGAACCCGACAGCTCTCTCTGTAGATCTTTATTGCCTCCTAGTGGTTTCTGCAAACATCACAAGGGATATTAGGAGGATTAGAAAGTCTTAAGGAAACAAAATGGTAATAAAATTTAAGAACATTCGTAAGATGACATCCTTGTAATGACAGAAAACTTAACTTTTACAAACAATATTCTCAAATAAGTTACTTTGGCAACTAAAGTTTGAAATACTTCTACTTTACTTTGAATCTGTCTGCATGACTGGATTGAAACTACTTTTTGATTTAGAAAGTGCATTTAGATGACAAGTGTTTTGAAAAGTAAACTGATTCTAAGTGAAATGCTTGAAAAAGGGTTTTAAATGTGATGCTTAAAGAACAAAGGAAAGCCATCATGTCACAAAATGCAGTTTTCATTTCTTCCAGATGACTTTAAATTTAAAGTCTCAACAGAAGTATGCCTATTTATATAGTTCTATTTCATATATTCTGAAGTTAAAGAAAGAACAGAACAAATATTCAAAAGCTATGAACATTTACTTCTGAGAAAACAAAAGACCCTATTTGGTGCCAGGCAGGACTAAAATTTGTGAAAATGACAGTTTTGTGAAAATGACAGTTTTCCATGAACTAAGAAATCTAGTTTTCTGTCTAACTCTGCATGACTTGTGCCAAACTTTAGTTTTGAAAAAGTAATTTTTTAACCAAATGTATTTCAAGAAGAACAAAGTTCATCTTCACTAACTGATGTTTATCTTATTGTGATGTAAATGAAATAGATAAAATGACTGTGCAGATTTTAGTTTTGACTAAAAGGCCAGAAGAAGAAAGTGACAGGACAATTATGATGATCAACAGTCCGTGTTGTGTTCTGTTTCCTGTAACATGCTGCCACCTACTGGCCAATTTGATGCATCACAACAGGACAAGCGTTCCAGTTCCTTTACTTGAAAGCTCAATAATTCAGTTTTGCTTTCAATTCAAGTCTTTAAGCAGAAAAATTAAGTATTCTTCTTTTGCTTTGACATGGTGTTTTTTTTGAAAGTATGTGTTATTATCTCCATGTTTTCAGACATAGTTATTAAGCCGATATCCACTGCTAGAAAGGGAGCAAAGCGAGGGTGCATGATTGTCCTTCAGGGCCTCAGGGGGCCTGTAGAGAGGAGCAGGGGGGTTTAGGTTGTTGAAGGGAGGTAGAGGAGCTGAAGGTTGATGTGTCTGCGCACGGAGGCGACCCTGCAACCTTTCTCTGCTGCTCCAGCACAGCACCAGCCCACCGACCACGCTGAGGAAGGACGAGGCGTAGCCGAGATACACAGCCAATCCGATCTCGTACTTCATCCCACTGAGAAGAAAGGGATCGTAAAAATCCATAATCACGTCATTGGTGGTCCAGGAAACGGTGACGAGGCAGAGGAGGCCGGCGCACAGGAAACCGACCCCACCGCTGAGGACCAGGGGGGATTTGACCACCGAACGTTGGGCGAAGTGGGTGCACTTCATCCCCATTACAGCCACCAGAGATGCCAAGACAGAGGAGATGCAGGAGAGCACCATGAGAGCCCGAGCAGCCTGCGAGAAACCAAAACAAAGGCTAAAGTTTGAAAGTTTATTCTCTAATAAAGCGGAGACTGTCATTTTGTATTTCACATTTTTTCTCCCAAACTCTCCCACATTTCACATTTAAAGTTACCATTTTCCTGAGCAGTGACACCAAAATATAAGAAGAGAAGTTATTTGATGCAGTGATTCATCTCAGTTAAGAATCAGTTTATTCTGCATTTTCTTAGCACCGACATGGAGCTAATGAAAAACAACAAATCAGTTGCTCATTCAAGAGCCAGCTTTAATGTCTAAACAAAGTAATGATACCTAGAATCAGGTGAGTCTTCAGATCTTCACTCAGTTTAGCAGAAGAAAATGAAAAGACACACTTGGGGACTAATTTCTCCAAACAATAGCCACGTAACGGCCTCATTATGAAGGTTTTTGGTGGTTTTTTTTTTAATTTCATTTATGCTTTATTTGCTTGAAAGTCTCAAAGTAATCTAACTGAATGTCATATTGGGGGAGTTTTCAGCTCATATTTTCTGAAAGTAGTTGTGCTGTTTGACTTCTAATACGGAGTGATAAACATTTAATCATAATGGTTTTGATTTGAAAGTGTTTTTCTTTGCACTCAAAGGGATTGTACAAAATGTACAAAGTCTGAATGTAAAATATTTTCCTCTTTTCTCCATTTAAACTAAAACATGCGCAAGACAGTGAATATGGAAAATATTCTTGTAAGTGCATTAAATAAATTTTTTTTCTGAAAAGTCGACACACAAATACCCCATTATGATAATGTGAATTTTTTTTAAAGATTTTTTTTAAAGATTTTTGAAAGTATTAAAAATATATAAAACATATTGTCTTGCATTTAGCAAGTAGAAATAATTTACCGATCTAAAACAAGAGAAGTTTTGCCTGATTTAACCTTACATGGTAAAAAAGTGTTTGTTTTTTTTAACTGTATGTAAACTTCTGGCTTCAGATGTAAACACATTGAAGAATCTGAAGATCCATTATTGAGATTTGGCTCCAACGCTTCTAACTCAGGTTCTTTCCATCGTTTTGGTTAAGTTCCTCCTGCAGAGAAACACCCACACAACATGATGCTACCACTTTACATTTAAAATCTGGTGCTACACCATTTTTGTTTACACTTTGTGAAGAAGGAAGTTGCGCTAGTCTGCTTTGGAGGTTTTTGTCTTGTATCCATCAGTGGTTTTTTGGTGCAGCGCGCCCACAGGGTGGAGAATGGAAGAGATTTTTCAAAGGGTTTGGATTGCTTGACACAATGCAGTGTGAAAGCAAACCAAACCAGCTGAAAACGTAGTAATTGTTGCAACCTTTGTCCCCAATCAAACCGAGTCTACCGGATTATTTGATGTGAAAACACTCAATTTTAAACAGAGAAGGCTTTCAATGATATACATCTTTGGTTCTCACAGTATCATCACTGCAAAAACGCAAAATCTTACAAAGTATTTTTAGTCCAGTTTCTTGAGCCAATATCTTAGTATACTTGGAATACGGTGTACTATACAAGAACTATACAAGAAAACTCTTGTACAAGAGAAAACAAATGTACAATTAGTGTCTATGTATGTATATATATTTCTCAGCAAGATATGGAAGCTTGTTTTAATAAAGTCAATAATTCTTTAATATTAATATTAATGAAAAAGTACCAGTTCCACTGGTGGATTATTATAGAAAAATCTCCCAATGGACCTAGTACTTTTTTGTCCATTGACTTAAAGCTCATATGATTTGCCGATAAATTACTTGTACGTTAGTTTTCTCTTATTTCAAGTGTACTAAGATATTCGCAGTAAAAACTGGACTAAAAGTATTTGGCAAGATTTTTTGCAGTGATCAGGTCACGCGGGTCAACCTTCAGTACCTGCAGGTCAGGGGGCAACGCCAGCAGAGATCGGTACAGCTCACACTGGTAAATACCCGTGCTGTGCCAGACGCACTCCATCCACAGGCCTTTCATGTAGGCGGTGGCTGTTATAATGTTGGTCCCCATGTAGGCTGTGCTGCGCCAGTGGGGGAGCAAAGTTGCGACAATGGTTCCTGCAAAGCCCAAAAGTCCTAGGAAGAAGCCGAGGAGCTGGACCGCCATGCTGGCCATGATTGAAGCGCTGGAACTGAAAAGTAAAAAAGCTAGTAGTTAAAATCACTCAGTAGGGAGACATTTATAGCACTGCAGGTGGTGATTATTTCACAAATGTGCAAAAACCACCCAACAAAACTAAGACTTACAGTTCCCAGGGCTGAAATTCAGTCAGGATTACTCGTCTTATCGTCCCCGGAGCAGCAGCATGTTCCTCTGCGCTCACCGCCGGTCACGGAGCCTGAACCATTCCTCAAGTGTCTCTTCTGAACGTGCGCAGGAATAGCTGTGGAAACTTTCAGCACTCCGGCGCCGTCGGTCTCTGGTGAGTGGCAGGTGGCTGCATGTGTGACTAATGAGAGCAGTGTTCAGCTTCACCTGGTAAAAGCTCTCTCCTCTGGAGGGGCAAAACCACAGCAGTCTATTTGTTAAGCTCTTCGCCACACCTCAGGAAAAAGACGAAATTAAACATTTACAGAAATCCACCTGAGCTGAGAGCACAACTTTAAGTCGGTGAAATTATTTAATCGCTCTGCAGGACGTTTGAAGGTGAGGGGCTGAATTATCTGAAGACAGATTCTAGCTGCTGGGTCCAGAACTGTTATAATAGAAAAAGCACAGAAATTGGTTTAATTTTGGGTCAATTTGGATTATTGCACTGTCTGAAACTGTTACACATTTACAGAGAAGTAAAATAATACAACTTGTAGCTCCAGGCTACCTTAAACTGTCAATAAGCTCTAATGATTTACTTTTGTTCCTTTTAAATGTTTTCAGCAAAATATGACAAGGAAAGTGCACGTTTATTTGAGTAATATTGATAGAAAACTGTGTTTAATCTCCAAATAAAAGGAAATTAGAACAAATTCATTGTCCTCAGAGAACAAAGGCTCTTTGCAAAGCCTGGTTATTTTTTCTGTGTTAGACCTGGCACTGCTTGGATCTCATAAAATCTCAGCGACACAAGCCCTTTTGTTCTTACTTAATGATCGACTACACTGAAGGCATGAAAGGAAATCATCAGGAACAAAAGCTAAGCTGTGACAAGAATCTTGTCTCACTTTCACACCATGAATTCAGCCTAGTTTAACCACATAGCAGTTCCCTGTCAGAGTGTTTGTATTAATCTACCTTCCCGGATTTAAGCAAGTCCAAAACACAAACTATATTAATGTGACATGGAAGAAAAATACTAGTTTTACAAACAAACGTGGTGTGGGTTTGTCTTCAGCCCCTTCTTACTCTGAAATCCATGAATGTATTGTAGTGATGTCACCTGCTATCACCTAATTAATAAATTGAGTCCAGTTGTGTGTTTTTAAGAGGTCAGTGAACAAACAGCATCACGAAGACCAAGGAATCACAACAGAAATGTCAGAAACAAAAGCAAAAAGCTTGAAGGACAATATATGAGACTTGAATTAAACCTTTTGGCCAATCTAACACTGAACACACAATCCTCATGCTGAAACATGGTGGTGGCAGAATTATACTTTTTGGAGTATTTTTACTCCACTGTACTTTTTACTTCTTCTTGAGTAATTTTATTATGAAGAATCTCTGGATTTCCGACTCACTGAATGAAAACAAACATGTTTTAACCAAACATTAATTAGTTTTACATTGAAAGAAACAGATTTTGAATTTTTTTTAATTTTGTCTGATTTAGTTACTTTGTTGTTATAAATTATTGTCATTCTGTTCCTTAAAATACCAAAATTTCTTGATAACATTATAATTTGGTCTGCCTGATGATGTGATGTTTCTTTTTGTTCCTCAGCACTTGAATAATTTCTTTTTGGTTACCTTTTAATTGAGTCAAAACATGTTGAAGTAGTCGTAGAGTTTCTCCCCATCTCTACTGAAAGGTCATATTTAAACGGGTACAGGCGACTGACTCACCCAAAAATGTTTGAAATAACAGCACCAGCTCCGCTCCGATTGTGTCATCTTAGTTGTCAAGCAACATATCCATTTGCCAGAATTGCAGGCCTGTCAGCAACGTGACAGGCCAGTTTTAGATATCATCAGCTTGATCAGTGACATTATGTCCATCAGTGTCTGCTACATCATGTAAGAGACGGTACCAAGCAGATAAAACGCACCAATGTCACGTTTGGGGAGAAGTGTTGCCATGCAGCGCCACACAGAGGAGACATGGTCCTCGCTTCTTCTTAGAGATTAAGAGCGTCCAACAAGTACGTGATTCACAACTTTAAAAAAGTAAAAACCACACAGTCAGCAGCAGAGCAGAGCAGCATGAGGTGCAGAAAGTTTACCTGATTGAATTTATGGGCGGTATAAGGAGCCAGACAAGGTCTTCTTTCTGATGTTCATCCTTCTTTCTTCGTCTGTGTCCTGAGCGTAGACTACCGTGACATCCTGTTGCCGTACAAAAGCATTTTCTCAGCCCTTCCCCCGGGTCACTCATGGAGCATTCGGCTGTCTGTGTGATCCCTGAGGCGGAGGGATCATCCTCTCCAAGGTCTGCCCGTGGGAGACGCCATTTGAAAGTGGAACACTTAATAGTCTTAGTTAAACAGAATAATCCTGTGATTAGCAGCTGAGCATATAGTGGGTTTGCTTCTGTCAGCGCTTGAGGGTGACACTGCAACACTACTGCGAAGATGTGGACAGGCAATCCTTTACAAGGGTTTAAGTGACTGGAAAGCTGCACTTTATCCACACCTGATCAACAGACACACCACTCAAGATAATTTAATTCAAGATCCTTTCATTTAGTAGGTCTCAGAATCTTTAAATGTTGAGATTTCCTGTGTTACAGCTATTGTTTTGAAGCTAATAATTAGGCATGTCAATTTAATAAACTTTAAAAGTCAAAATTATGTCTTTGAAATTCATCGTTATGACTGTCACAATCAAAACTATGTGCTTTTAATCTCATAGGTTAGTCTGTGATTCTCCTAATTATGATTTCATCTGTCAAAATAATACATTTCAATATCAGAAACTAAAATGGATTAGGCCCTTACAAAAAAATAATTAGTTTTGACTCAAATCTAGAATTTCAAATATCTTCCCCCCCCCAATTTTTTAGAACTATGATTTTAATCTCAAACTTCAGACTCATCAGACACATCTCGAAATTCAGTCTCAAAATCTAGAAATTCAGATTCTCTTTTTTTTCTCAAAATGTTCACATTTTTCTCAGAATTTTTTTTATTTAGAATTCTGACTTTAATCCCAGAGTTTTAAATCAAATGTCAGAATTTTTATGTCTTTTAGAATTCTAAATTTAATCTCAAAATCTAGAAATTCGGATTCTCTTTTTTTTCTCAAAATGTTCACTTTTTCCTCAGAATTTTTTTTATTACTTAGAATTCTGACTTTAATCCCATAATTTTGACTTTAATCTTAAAATAGGGAATAAACATTTGTAAAAAGAAAATTACTTGCATCTGACTTGTTCCTCTTGAATTAGCTTTGCTTCAAATTTTGCATTTGCCTCCAGAAGTGTGCTTATCTGTGTAAAAGTTATGACATCAGAAATAAAAGATTAAAATCAAACTTTTTGCGTTTTTTTGGCACTAATTTTCCTCCATAAAGTATGACTTTGAATCTGGCAGCTTTAATTTCACAATCATGACTTTAAATTATGAAATATGTTGCCCTTTTCTGTAAAATGACAAACCTTCCATGTAAATGTGCTTATATAACTAGATATTAGTTTGTTTAAGGTCTATATAAGAGTACAGAGGTTTCATTACTATGTTTTTTTTGTACTAATTGCCGTAAAAATAAAGTCAGCCATTTTCGCGCCGTTGTGCTGAGATGCATCATTAGATTAGCAACTTTAGTCCTAAACCGTCTTTATTGCCGGTTTCATATTTTATTTGACACTTTTCATCAAACAGGTCAGATTATTTTAAATGCTAACAGTGTATTCTGTTGAGTGCGATAGTCACCAAGAGACTTGATTAACACTAAAGCGAACAACTTTGAATGTTTTAGCCTTGTTAGCATTGTTAGCTTATTTTAAATAGAGCTACTGATGTTGTGCTGCTAGCTTTCTTTCAACGTCGTCAAACTCGTTAGCTTGAATTTTACCAACTTGTTTAAGTACAGTCAGGTTGTCAGGAATGATAAAGGTGAGAAAAACAACCAGCAATACTAGGAAGTACTCCTGGACACGCAAGTGTCATCATTTGAAGGCCCCCCAGCGGCCTCGGCCCGTCAGGACCGTCATGACCCGCAGCCAGTGCTCCTCCGCCGCGGGCTTCTTCAACGGACTCCCCGCTGAGGTCTTCCACATGATCCTGGACCAAATGTCCGGTGCGTGTAAAGCTTTAAACCCACAATAATTACACATCCATCACGTTTATAATAGATGTGGCGTTAAATTATTAGAAGAATATCTCACGTTTATTATGAGGACATTCCTAGAAAATGGGTGCGTTTAATTAAATAGCTAAATAGCTGAAGACGCAATTTATGGTTGTTATTTGATTAATGGGGGGATCCCAATTATACACAGTTTCATTACTCTTAATAAAAATATTCAGCTGTTGATTTTCTACCGTCTGTAACTTAGAAATAAAAGATAACAGTATAAGACAAATCTAATTTTCATCCATGGTTGAATATTAAGTATTGTCTCTTGGCTAATTCAGTTATTCAAAAGTAATATATTTAATGCTAAATTAGTTTTTAAGCATCTAATTCAGTTGTTATTTGATCAAAATATGCCGAAGTTTAGAATTTGTGCATTTTACAAGTTTTACTAAATATACTTAATGTATTTGTTTCTTTTGTTATGACAGACAATAAAACTTGCTAAGCCTGGTGGTTTGGTGCTAGAGCAGTCATTCAGGCATTCACAGCAGCTCATTGTGTTTTTGAGCTAATACATGTTTAATGTTGACAGGAAATTTGAAAATGTCACTTGATGATCATGTGTTATTGAAAGATTTAAGAGTAACACCTGAACACCAACTACAAGTCTTAAAAAATGCAAACATTTTAAAAAGACTTAAATAAATAAGCTATGCTAAGCTTATTTAATGCCTGGTGACCCGCCAGGCTTATAATACACTAGGGGAAAAACCATGAGATAGCAGATTATTCTCCAGTCCAAAATTCTTTTGGACTTGTAAAGCATAATCTACCAATGTAAATTTTATTCGTAACATTTGCTCCTTTTAAAGGTAAAACAAAATGATGTTTTTTTTTTTAACTTGTGTGTGTTTCAGTGGTGGACATCAGCGTGTTCAGCATGGTTTCAAAGGAACTCACCAGTTGTATTGTGAACTACATCTCCTCCCAGGCCTGGAGGAATAAAACCATCATCCAGAGCTTTCACAACCCCACATTGTCAGAACAAAGATCCACGCTGGAACACTACAGACACCTGGGTAACTTACTCACTTCCCTTTTTAAGCTAAACTTATTTCTCTCTTTATATCTTCTGTTTTTATTTTTTTCCACATTTCAGGATTGTTGTTCAAGAGGTGTACCCTGCTGCTGCCCACAAAGGACAGGTTAAAGTTCATATTTAGCAAGTTTTCACAGGTAAGGATGAAAAGCGGTGAGAGGACACAGTGCAGTTGAATGTTCTGATTCAGCATTAGTATTTTAAAATTATTTGCAACCTAAATAAAATGCCAGGTTTGTGACAAATAAATAATACATTTAACGGCAAAATAACCTGGTTACTTATAAGTGCGCACATCCTTGAGTTAAAAGTTTGCTGATCCATTTTGTTCTTCAGTTACAGCATTTGGTCGTTTTCTTTCAGTATTTTTTTAGGCGGGTGGCGCCTAAAAAAAAAAGGTCTAGCTTGACCCGGAGAAACAGAATCTCAAAAATTGAGAACAACCAGAATGGAAAACAGTTTTTTACCCTGTGGACTTTTTTATTTTCTTCTCATGCTTTTTAGTTATTTATTTAAGTCTGAATGAATGCGTTGCTCTCCAGTCTTGATGTATTTTTGTTTTAGTGTATTCAGAAGAGAGCGACATATCAGTTGCAGCTCTTCCTGGTGTGTCTGGCTTTCTTATCCTGGACTTTCAGCCTCAATGTAAATAATTAGCATCTTATGTTGCTGATAAAATCATGTTGCATTTTAGATACCTTGCTTCATGTTGGAGCAGTGCCTTACACCAGACTGCACTGGTTTCTCCCGATACGGCGTCTTCCTCCAGGTGAGTGGCTCGTTTCTAAAAGCTGGATATTCTGTGAAAAATGTAAATAAAAACATAAATGAATTGAAGGAGATTACGTCTGTGGAGACAGTCCTCTTCTTAAAGTGACTTGGTGCTACAGAAATGCTTTAATTTCACATTTTTACCCATTTAATAAATAATCCATCTTTCATTTTTGTGCTGTGTCATAATACCTAAAATCAGATGCAGCAGTTCAGTGGATAATTTAATACAAAAACGGGGTGATGTTGGTGATAATTGTGTTTTTACACCGATTGCTTCACAGACCCTGATTGCAGGATGGGATGAGCTGGAGTGCCACAGAGTGTTTGGTTTTCTTTGTGAACAAACAAACCTGCTGCTTAAGACTGAAGCTTTACTCACCGCGAAACCAGGTGCGTTCCCTTGAGTGTGTAGGAAATCTGCCAATAAGTGATCAGTTTTATGTAATCGATGGAGAGGAACATTTATAATCTAAGGGCTATTACGATTTGTTAATGTGTGTGGTTCACAAAAATTATTATTGCATTATCTTAAAACAATAACTTTATTGTTTATCGCAGTAATTATTGGGACAATTGATCATTTCAGGCCTCAACAAAGAGAAGTATTTGGTCGTAATGTGGCAAAATCTGAAATTTTCTTTTTAAAAAAAACTGTAAATGTTTTTGTTCTCAGGGCTGAAGCGATACCAGGAGCTGCAGCTCCGACTGTTTTGCCGTAAAGTTCTGCTGGACCCATGCCAGAACCAGCCAGATGGACAGTTCTGGTTGGTTCAGCTGCTGAAGCCGTGGCCGCTGGTCAGCCAAGCCCACCTACTGTTCGTCCTTTTTGGACCTTTGCTGCATGAGGGTGAGGTCACTTTTAGACAGCAGTTGACATTTTTAGGACACGTCAGACACTTTCAGACTGCTGAAATGATTAAATGCTGTCAAATAATTTATCCACACTGTGACAGGTACTGAAATCTGCTGCTATACATATAATAAGCACACAAAAAAATCAAATATTTCCTAATTAGTAAGGGCTTCGTAAAAGAAATATAAGATAAAAATATGAAGAGTTCTGCGTGAACTCTGCCACAGGCTGCAGCTGGATGGAGCGCTGACTCTCTTCCTGAGAAAAAATAATATAAAGTTAAAAGGAAATTTTGGTATTTAAGGACGAAAATGACAATAATTCATATATGTAACATGAAAATTACAAAATTGGGCAAAAGAAAAAGTCTCCAAACCAAATCCTTTCAAAAAAAGATCTTATGAAACTTGAATTAAAAACTGCAGGTGTGTGTCTTTTTGGTTAAAGCATATTTATTTATTATTCAGTAGAAAATCCAGAAATTTTACCCTAGAAATACTTTATCAAGTCAAAATAAAACATACAGCGTAGTAAAAATACTCCTAAAAGTATGTTTTTTGTTTGTTTTTTAAAGTTATTCCAGCAGATGTAACTGTGTGAATGTAACTAACTGAATATATTTGGATATTCTTTCTATTAGTTCTTCTAATTGTTTACAATTTTGCCACAAATCATGAAACAGACTTAAGAAAGTTTCATTAAGAGAGAAGAGTTGTGTTGTTGTTATTACACTAGCAATATTCAGAAAAAACACAACTTCACAATTGCGGTGTTTTAATAAAATAGGAAACACAATTAGTGAAGTAAATCTAGTAAATACTCACTGATTGTTAGATAATGCAGCGTTACAGTGCAGGAGGTGTTGTGGTGGTTTCAGTGGTGTGACGTTGATCTGGCCTGTCCTCCCTGCAGGTATTCTGGGCTGGGAGGATCTGGTGGACCGGGGTCTGCCGCACAGCGCGCTGTGGGATCTGGCCAAGTGCATCCTCATGCTGTCTGGCACGCTGCAAGTCAAAGGCTGGAGCACCGACTCAGTGCTGTCAATCCTGGAGGAGCTCATTGGTATTTTACGGAAAATATTTTATTACTGTTTTGAAACTAGACAGTATTTCAAGGAAAGCGTTGACGTGTGCGTGTGTGATTTACAGTCATCCCCCAGCCGTGGTACTTGGAGAACGTGGCCCGCCTGCTGGTGCTGTGCGGCAGCAGCCTCTGCTACACCTTCCTGGCCAGCAAGGCCCTCAATGGACGACTGGACGAGATCTCCAGGATCATCATTCATATCATCCTGGTGAGACCAAAGATTTATCTGGAGATGAACTCGGCCTTCAGAGGAGAACTCGGTCTGAACAAATACTCATCATCCGTTTTGTTCGGGACACCTTGCTACGCTCTTTGTGTTGTCAGAAGCGTCTGTCCTCTGGCAATGACAGGACAATGTCAGCCACATTATTTCCACCTACTGGGTATTTTCTCTTGCTGTAAATCTGAGAAAATGTTTGTAAAAATATTACATTTTTCATTTTATTTTTACAGATTTTAAAATATTCAGGTCTGCCAATCTGGAAGCAACAATAGTGCTTATTGTTGGTGTTTTAATTTTAGTGTAAATTTTCCTAATTTATCTTATGGATCATTTTGTGACAAAGCAATTAAAGTCAAACAAAATAAACAAATTGTAACACAAAACATCTTTTTTGTGTCAAAAAGAAAGTTAAATTCTCTGGTAACATGAACAAACAGTAACCAAAACCCTAAATAAAATATACTATGGTGTTTGTAAACAAAATAATAGAATATTAATCAATAAAATGGAAATAATTGAGCTCATTTTATTTATCCTGCGAATTAATTGATTGCTTTTTGCGGCAGCCTTGCATGCGTTGGTAAGCAGGCGCTAATCGCTCCGTCTCCTGCTGTGTTCGTGGCTCTCCTGGTTCAGGTGTGCGAGAAGGACGGCTACCACATGAGCTGGGCGGTGAAGCTGGTTCAGCAGATCTGCAAGGTGTTCAGCACGGCGCCGGAGAGGTTCACCTTCATCCAGCACCTGGAGAACATGTTCTCTGAAGTCACCAGAGAGTTCTACGAGTCCTCTGTGGCAGGTGGGTTAAAGCAGCTTAAACGGGAATATATTTCCTACTAAAATATGTACTAGGAATGTTATATGTACCTATATGTGTATAAGAATATACAGTGGGAACATTGCACCCTTTACACCATTGTTGTAAGTATATATTTAGGATTAATATTCAGAAATGTACTCAATATTTACTAAAATAAAATGAGAAAAGGTAGAGGAAAAACTTGCTCAGGTGAGAAAGTGTGTGTGTGTGTGCGTGTGAGTGTATGGGTGTGTGTGGGTGTGTGTGAGCGCTCAGACAGATGACATTTAGCTTCACCTCCTTTTTTGCATTATCTCAGTGGAAAGCCATTCAGCTCAGGTTGCATAAGAGCTTCATTTGTCTTTGACTAGATCCAGCCTTTCTTTTCTGCTTCACTCATGCTAATTCCTAATGGTATAATTGGACGGTCACATTGAAATGGATTTATTCATGTGAATAAGTCGGCCATCTTTAAGCAGAGAAAGCTGATAATAGGGAAAAGTCAGAAAACAAGAGAGATCTCGTCTGCATTTACCAGTACAAAGAAAATAAATAAAGCAGGTTGTAAATTTCTACTGACTTTGCTGACAGATTTTTAAAAATATTTTCATTTTATTTCTTCTATATGGTTGTAGATGCAGTGATTTTTCCCCAGAAAAACAGCTCCAACATCCTAAAAGCATTTAAAAATGCCAATAATTTTCTGTCTCCAGGGAACAACTTTGAAGACAGAGAGACTTTCCAGACCTTTTGCATCCTCCTGGACTCCAGCGCTCGCTTTCACACTAAACTGCTCCACATGTTCCTGAAATAAGAATGATTTATAGAAGGCAAAATATGGAAAGAAATGTCAATAATGAAGGGGGTTGTCTAATTAAAAGAACTGCACAAACAGAACCGAACCACTTCATGCTGTTTAAATGCTTTTGTTAAACAGTTTTGTTATTTATTCAGCTATTAGTGTGTCGACATTTTACAACGCAGTTCAAAAGCTCTGTTGGGTGTGTTATTATATAAGAATTTAATATTTATTTGTTAGCATAATTTTTTTTGCAGTATATTTATTTAATTTATCCATCTACCTGTGATAAATATGAAGAGGTTATTTAATAAAATTGTATTTTCTAACATTTCTTGTCGGCTTGTTTTTATGTATATAAAAAAAACGCAGCAGACACTGAGCAAATATGTTTTTTTTACTTCCAATTAGTGCATCATTTGACATTAACAGCATCCTCAAAAAACAAAAATAAAAAAATAGATAAAAGCTGGAATAGATTAAAAAAGCTACTTCAATGTGTGCAGAAAATAACCCAGATTGTGTGTACATTCAGACTGCATGCAAACTAGTGATGAATAAGGAGTTGATGAGGAGGGCTTCAAAAATCACTTGACTCAGATTACAGCATTTGCCTTTAAAGGGAAGTTGAGTCTTTAAAAGTTTAGCTCAGAGAAAAAGTGCTCGACTATTTGACATTGAATTTTAAGGCTTGAAACTCCGAGTCAGATCCAGTTTGCACATCCGTGTGTCCCGATCACGCCTGGTCATTCATTTGTTCATTGTTTTGATATGATCTGCAGGAGAAAAGGGGGAAAATACTTTAGAGTCTAGTTGAACTTCAGTTTAATGTTCTACTGACGGCTTTGGATTCACAAAGCTCTTGAAGGAAAATAAACTAATACTTAGGGTGAGAATGGGATGGAAAACAGCAACAGCATTACTCAAGGAGAAATAAAAACTGGGAACTTCGTTTTATAAAGTTTGCATCCTTCGGCAAAAATGTGCTTTTATGTTCAGCATCCTCATTGTTGAACAACCTGCTGTAAATGTTTTGGACTTTATATTTCTGTAGCTTTGCATATTTAGAAAGTCTTGTTACACGTTTTAAGTTAAATTTAAATCCGGAAATGAGGCTCTAGTTGCATTTAGTGAATTAGATTTGCTTGAATAATGTTTTTGAAAATAAAAAATACTTAGAGGTATTTTTACTATGCTGTATTTTTTACTTTTACTTTACTAATTTTATTATGAAATATTGCTACGCTTACTTGAATAACATTTCTGGATTCTCTATCCACTGAATTAAGAACAGGGATTTTTTTTTGCCAAACATTCACCTGCCATTATTTTTTAAAGTTTGATATTGAAAGAAACTGATTTGGGAATTTTTTTCTTTTGCCTGATTCTGTTATTGTTCTGTTATTCTGTTTTTATTTGTTTTTTTTTTTGTTGTTCTAATTTTTGTCCTTAAAATACCAAAATTTTCTCTTAACTTTATAATTTGGTCCAGAGAGACTTGAAGACAGAGAGACTTTCCAGACCTTTTGCATCCTCCTGGACTCCAGCATCCTCCTGGACTCCAGCGCTAAAATGATGTGATTTTTAAACATTAAATGACTGATAATTAGATTAGTGACTCAGTACTTGAGTAGGCTTTTTAACAAATCAAGATCATGAATTTTCTCAAAGTGCTTAATAATATATATATAAAACCAATGATCAAACCGTTAAAATCTAAATAACTGCATTCGATACCTGCTTTTTAAAACTAAAAACCTTTCACCTTGATCAGTCTCCAGGAGTTTGTGACTGTTTTTGAATTTTGGAATTAAATTCACTGATTTTGTGGTGCTAATTTTTAAAAAACAAAAGATATTTGTGCTTACATAGGAGACAACGCTGGAGGAGAAGTAAGAAATACTGCCACCTGCAGGTGGGAGTTGGCATCCTCTGAAGCTCAAAGTTTGGACCATTTTTGCTGAAAAACCCAAAAATTAAATTTCCGCGATTGTCGAATTGCAAAAAAGTGGAGGGACTGATTGATGCAAACTGGCAGTAAACGGATACAACCTGCTTTAATTTGATTTATAAAATTTAATTTAAGCGCACAACTACTATGTTGAAGGTTCTATTTATATTATGTTGCTTTCTACTTAAACTTAAGTGAATGCCAGGGGTTTAATTACTGGACGGCCAAACCTTGGTAAGTGTGCAGCTGTTGGATTTGTTTATCGTTTTCCATGATGCAGTTTGTTCATTAACATTCTCTATGTTGTTCTGCCGTCACAGAGCACAGCTACAAACTCCAATTAAATTAACCTAATTACACACAGGACTTTGTTTATGAAGAGACTTTAAATGGACACCAAAATGCAGAACATTTGAGTAAATAGGGCTGAACGCAAATGCATGTAACATTTAGTAAGATCAGCAAAAAAAAAAACACAAAACATTTTCACAAATACGTTTCCACTTACACAGATGTGCACATCTTTGCTTATGTGTTAAATAGTTAAAGTGGACTCAAACTTCCTAACGCAGACAAAGACACCTACAGAAATGTACATCACTCCACATTGACAAGCTTTAGCTCTTGGATACTTACTGTGCAATTTGATCTATGAGTTTAAAAGAAACAAAATAACAACAGAAAGAACTTATTGCCGGTTAGTTAAAGGGGTAAATGATAGACAGACTGTTCTGGCATTTCAGTTCTGAAACCCATTTTCTCCATTATCCCTGTATGATGATAAAAAGGGAAAATTACCTTGCAGCCAGTCCAGCCCTTCCTGCAGACCTTCTCCTTTGATGGCATTGCTGGCGCTGAAAAACAAAATGTGTAGCGGTTAAGTCGTTAATGGAGCATTTCCTTTCTCCAGCCTTTTTTTCTTGGACCCTGACTGTTTAAAGCTGTCCAGCTCTTAATCCATTTGGCCTCCACCTGTCTAATGAGTAAACAAGGAGGAGGAAAACACATGTATGCAATGGAGCCAAGCTGCTAAATAACTCCATGTGGCTCAGTCTCTCTGCAATGTTTAACCATGAGTGAAGCAAAACTGGAAAGTCTGTCTCTTGATTATGAACAGCAAGTAAACATGCTTTACTTTCTGAGTTTATGGTGAGTAACACTTGGCTTTTACAATAAAATTATCAATATAGCAGCTTTTCTGCTGATGACTCCTCAAGGTGAAAGCAGAGTAATTGATACTTTACCAGATGTGCCAGGGTTTGTCTTTTATGTTCTCCAAACACAACATTTGCGAGACCTTGACCGAAGACAGAGCATCCCGCAAGTCTGTCTTGTTGGCGAAGAAGAGTACTGGGATCTTTTTGTTGCAGATATCTGGGAAGACAGATGTGAGGATAAGACACTAGTTCCTCAATCACATCATTGTGCATCTGTAGCCTAATTTAAATGATCCTCCAGCAATACCTTTGGACCAAATTTGAGAATTGCTATCTACAATTTGATTGCTATCTACCGACTTTATTTCATCTTACTCTATGCATATGCTCTGTCATGCTGATGAAAATTGATAACATTTTGAAAGCATCAAGGCAGATTTTGAAAATTATTATTTCATCCCCAAATGGTTGAGTTAATACTTAAAAATAATAAAGAAATTAAACAAAATACAAATGTTGCAGCAAAAGTCAGGTCCTCTATCCTGACACAGCGAGACATTGTGAATTTCAAAGACTTGATCCAAATGTAGACGAACTGTACAAAACAGACGCAACACAAAGATTTCATAAAATGCACCTTTTTGCAATGTCACATCTGCATTTTTAATGACAAGATGAGAACCAGCATCACAGCACTCAATAAACATTTTTAATAATTAAAGATGGAAATCAAAATTTCAAGTCTGACTTGATCACAAGGCCTATGAAATAATGCAAAAATACATCTCAATAGACAAGCTTGGATTAAATACATGTAAGTTTCTAGTTGTAAAATGCTCACATAGTGGCCATATGACACTTCTTAGACCGAAACGTCTCTATAATTTGAATTAGGTAAAAAACTAAATGTATATTTATTGTACCTTCATGGTTGAGGAGATTATCGAGCTCCTCCTTTGCCACAACCATTCTCAGTTTGTCGCTGCTGTCAATGACGAATATGATTGCGTTGCTTTCTCTATTAAAAAACAAAACAATAAAAAACATTCACCAATATAATAATGGAAAACTTGCATGCAGAGTATGCATACATGGTCCATTTTTGTGCCTTACCTGTAATAATGCTCCCATAGGTTTCTGTACCTGCTTTGGCCTGACATGTCAAAGACTGTGAAGGACAGGCTGCATGTAGAAAGAAAAACACAGTGAGTGACATAACATCAGCCACTTTGTGATACTGAAATGTTTTGGCGTTTTACCTTGAACTCTTGAACTTTTCAATGTTGAAGCCAATTGTCGGGACTATTTCTTGAGCCGCTGTCTACATGCACACACATTTGCACACACACACAGACACATGCAAACGCACAAATAAAGACAAGTAACAGCAAAAGTATGTCAACTATGAAACAAAGGGAGGTATGACGTGGGTTTTACCTGACTAACATGTTTCCACTCTTCTGACAATGGACCTAAATGATTTGGATGCTGAAAACGAATGATTGCAAAGAAATAATAATAATAATAGGCATCCAAATGTATACTTTAATAGATTTTAAGGTAATTTATCAGCTAAGTAGTTGTGTTTACTCTCAAAACGAGGCTGAAGTTAGAAAACAGCAGGTAGAACATTTCAAAACTTACATTCGATGGTTTGAGCTGGTTGATGATTGTCGTTTTGCCGCTGTTGTCCAGACCCAAGCACAAAACGTTGACTTCTTTCTTCCTCAGGCCAAGCCAGCCTGAAAGTTTATCAAGCAGCCCCATTTCACTCGGCTTGACGCAACACCATTTAGATTTTCAACACATTACCCCATAGATGGCCTGATTCGATCAGGACCAGTCGTGTTTGCAGATTTTCTCTAAAGCGAATGTTAATGATAAAACATAGGCTTCACCGGCGCTCCAGCGCTCTCGCTGTTAATAGATGAGATGCTGCCTGGCCATCGCCAGCTTGTGGCAGGTAATCCTATTATGGTGAATTAAATCCAGTGAACCACCCGGTGGCCTGATGGTGGAGTGTGGAGCTCTGCAGGCCCCCAATCCTGATGCATTTGATTTATTACACTCTGAAGGATCCCCCCTTAGCTGCTGGGGCCTGTTAGAGAAACATGAAACCTAACAGAGAAGATGCAGCTCTTTTCTTTCCTGTAACTGGTAACTCGCG